CAGGTGTCCGTGCCCGGACGTGACGCCCGAGGCGACGCTGACACACGAGAAAGGGGGCCCGCGCCACCATCTCCGGGGGCCCCTGCACGCGATTTCCGGCGCTCCACGCTGCGCCCATCGCCCGCGACCTGCCGCCGAACCCATTTTGCCCCGGGCTGGCTGCGCCGACCGCCCCTGGCCTGGCTGGACCAACCGCCCGGCGCCTTCGCGCGACATGAATCTTCGGGCCGAGTTCTCAAATCGCACCAACTTGCCTGACTGTCTGGGAGGCGGGCTGGGGAGGCCACAGCAAAAGAGACTTCTGCCCCAACATCGCCCACGATTCCACCAGGAAATCCGCCCAAGAGACAACTTCATGGCCCCCGGGGGCCCAGTCACCCCGCGCCCAAACTTGGGCCCTGGGCCTGCAGACGCGCGGCCCCACGCTTGCCGCGGCTCGGAGGGGACAAACGGAGAAGGCTGCGTCAAATTGGCCTACATCTCCACGGGGCCGCGCGCGATTGGCGCCACGGCGGGGTGCCATTTCGGGCCCGGCGACAGATACAAGAGCGAGGTGCGAGGACTCGTCTTGGCAGAGGGCTGCGTGGCGCTAGCAGCCGCGATCTGCAACCTCGCCCACTCAACGTGGGAGATGACTCGGACCTCAGCGCCGAACGTGAGACTGGGCATGGGCCCAGCGGTGGAAATCAACCCCCCGATCAGTGAACTTGCGACCGCGACGAAGCCTGCCCGACAAACTGCAGGGAAATTCGATGCCGAGGTCCACGACCGACCGAAACAGAGGTCCCGCAAGTCGCCCCAAGCGATCCCTCACCGGGGTGGAGACTGCGTCCGACGAGGGAAACAGAGAATCACCGACCACGGCGCCACAGAACGAGCCGAAGCCACCCAGCTCCTAGGCTCGAATCGGCACGCGCGCGATCTGCACCGGAAACTGATACACGCGGCATCGCTGAAGGAGCGCAGACGAGCTCAAAGCTTCACAAATCCTACAAGAGCGCGAAAGTAAACTTCCCCCTGGAAACCGCCCCTGCAGCGCGCGGCGCCCGCCGCCGCGCGACGCCCACAGCAGACGAGAACTGTGGGCCACAGAAGTAGCTCCTCTGAAAGGCGCTTTCGCAAGTCACGGCGCATTTTCGGCGGCGCCGCCCCCGGCGGCAGCAAGCGCTACAAAACGACCCGGCGGGTCGGACCCCCCAGGAGGGCTTGTTAGGGAGGGACAGAGCCACCAGAGAAACCTGAACAGGAAACAACCCCGGGGCCCCCCGCGATGGAGCACATGGCCCCCAGGGCATCCAGCGCACCATCAGAAAGCGACGCGCAACGTTTCATCTGAATGCACGTCGACCGCCGCGGCAGTTCGGCCGGGGCACCGACGGGAAGCCGCCCGCCAGTCTTCGGGCGAAAGACGAGGGAGGGGTTGAACACATTGAAACGCGGGGTCGGCATCTAGAAAGGGCGGCGGCAACCTCCCATCATTTGCTCAACTTGGCGGCCCCAGCAGAACGCAGAGCAAAGGGATCTCAGACAGCGGCGCCACCCCCGTCGCGGGCGCCCACGGCCGACTGCCCCGAACACGTCGGCGGGCGCGCCTGGCGCCCTGGCCAATGGGTTCGAGAAGTCAAGCCCCCCACTCAGGCAGTGCCTGCGCCTTGGCCTTGACGGCAAAGGTACCGCAGTACCCATCCAAGCACGCCGGGATGGCTTCTCCTTCCTCGAGGTTGAGCAGGTCGCGCTGCCCTAGAAGTGGCCGGACACGCCACGCGCGGTCTGCATGGACATCCAGCCTCTGCTGCTAAACATTGGGAGGAGACAAAAGCAGCCCCCGAACCTCCTGGGCCTGGGCGGATCTTTCGCTGACAGCGCCGAGCTGATGAAGGAGCCTGAACGCACTCACAAGCCATTCCAGGGAGCATACTTGAATCTGACGATGGGGGACTGAACGGCCCTGATCCAGAATGTCGACCAAGAGCCGCCGGGGCATTCCCCGCGCGCCCCCCCCCACCCACCCACCCACCCACCCAACATGGCAAAGAGGCTCGTCTAGTTCCCGCAAGCTCCTCCTCGGCCAGGTCGGCCCACTGCTTGCGAAGCTTGTCGAGCATTCTCGGACAAGCACCTAGGACTGCCTCAGACTGCACTGACCTCCAGTCTGGCGGCGGGGGCACGAGTCCGATGGGCACGCCCGTCGGCCGCGGCGGCGGCCGGAGAAAAACGAGGCCGCGCAGCTGACCAGCATCAGCATGAAAGGTAAGCTGGCCGGGCAGATGCGCGACGATGCTCGACGCGCGCAGAGCTCCGACCTTGGAGGTATCCCGAGCGAGCCCCGATGAAACGATGAAGCACTCGACGCAGCGCGCGCCCCAACCAAATCATCAGGCTCGACCAGCTGCGCGCGCAGGCGGTTGACAATCCCCGACGAGCTGAGCGTCTCGGGGGACACGTTAACATCCACGCCTATGATAGTTGGCACCTTACCGACACGAGCAATGAGATCGACGTCTGCCTCCGAGAGGCCCTCACACGTGCGCACGTAGGCACTGAAAACAAAAGCAGCGCCCTGCTGGAACATGAACGATGGCCCCCACAATCGATGCACATCGATGAGGCGTCCACCCGGCGGAAGATGAAGCCCCAGAAAGAACTTCACCGAGATCCCGACCCCCGACGACGCGACGCGTTCAACCCCAGGCGCAGCTGGCACAAGCACGGCATTCCAGCCGCGCCTACGTGCCCAACCTACGGCATCATCAAGGTCCTGGGTGCTCTTGGATGAGGAGGACGCGGGCGCCGCAGTGAGGCGGCAACACCTTGAGACCTCCACCAGACTCCGAGTGCCAAGAAGTGACGTCGACGGTCAGGACCACTCACTCAACCTGAGCATCCCCAGGACTGGGCAGGCGGACATAAAAAATACGCGGAAAGCTCGGGAGGGAGATCCCCTGCCGGCGGGCTGGCCTCCGAGAGTAGCAAGGGGTCGGGCCTGGGCTCTGCAGGCAGTCGGGTCCGAAGGCAGCGCGTGGAAGAGGAGGAGGAGGAGGAAGAAGAAGAAGAAGAGAGCATAAAAAATGTATATATATATATATACATATATATATATATATATATATATATAGAAAGTATAAGAAAACACTCGCTAGCAGAGCACCCTCAGCCCTAGCCAGCGCGTGCTCTACCGCTCGGCACAGATGGCCACTGCAGACCTCAACGATTTAACGTGCGTGCCAGAATCCTCTCACTCGGCAACTTCCTGGGAGGTCCGCGCTGGGCGAGCCACCGAGTAGAAAATGACGAGGCGCGCCGCTGGCAAACTCAGCCGAGGGGGGCCCATCCCCCTCGCCGCGAAAGCTGCAGCACTCCGGCGCCCCGAAATGGGACTGAGTTCTGAAACCAGGGTTTCCGAGCGGCACCTCCTGCGCGGATACAGGCCCCCAGGAAACACCGCTGGCGAGAGTGGCCTGCTCGAGGCCACTAGAAATTATCCGAAATGTGCGACGCGCTCAGGCTGCGACCGCTGCAGCTCACGAGAACACAAGAGGACCGACGCACGGCCGGGCGACCACGCTGCACCCCCCCCCCCCGCCCCCGCTCCAAGTGGAGCGGGGGGAGGAGAGTAGAGGGCTTTCTCTGCCCTGACCCGCGCATCATCCGAGGCCGCCTCGGCTCCGCCAACAAGCTCCTCCTGCGAGGCGGCAGCGGCCGACGGCCTGCCGCCAGCTGCGGCGGGCCCAGGCTGGCCCTCAGAATCACGAGCTCCATCAGCAGGTACGGGTACGTCGGCAGCCGCTGCAGGTCCCCCAGCCGCGGCGCCGCGGGCGGCGCGCCGCTTCTTGGCCGCTGGGCGCGCGAGGTGGCGGCGGCGAGCATCTCGAGCCCCCTTGGCCGCCTGCACCAGAAAGCCAAGCAGATCCTTCGCCAGTTTGGACACACCTGCACTGAGCGTAACCTTGCTCTTGGCGATCTCGCCACGGTCCTCCTGCGACAATTCGACGCCGGCCTCGGAGTAGGACGCCTCGTCGATCTGGAAGACCGCCCCCAAGTCGAACTTATCATCGCAGAGGTCGTCGAATTTGATCTTGGAAGGTGCAGGATGTGCAGGAGCTTCAGGACCAGGAATTGCAGCCTGCTACTGCAACTCCTTGACCAGCCCCTTGTACTGCATGTCGGCCGTGTCGAGCTCCGAACGCAACGACCTGACCGAGGCCTCTTGGGCGAGAACATCCTGACGCTATACGAGCAGCTTGTCGGCCTCCTTGTCCAGCTGCTCTTCCAGGCGCGTGACCACGGCGAAGGCCTGCTGCACCTTCTGATGCACAGGCACAAGGGGGCTTGGGAGCCTCCTCGTGGTACAGCCGTATACGCTCCGCCTCGTACCGCGAAGCCGTGGTCAAACCACCGCCCTTCCGCGTCAGCTCCGCCAATTGCTTGGCCTCCACCGCGGTGAGCTGGCTCTGGGCACCGCCTGGGAGCGGCGCCGCGCAGCCGGGCCCACCGCCTTCGGAGGTGGAACTCCTGCAGCCCGCCCAGGGTGGAGACCAGGAAGCGCGAGCTGTCCGGGTGACCAGGTCATCGGGGCGAAAAAGCCTGGTGGGTGATGCGACCATAGGCCTTGCGGTAGATGACCACCATCAGCTGGAACAACATCAGCAAGTGGCGGACCACAGTGCCTGCAGAACCACGACGGGTTGGGGTTCTTCCCGCACCCGCACGTGCTGAACTTTGTTTTGGAGTTGCCAGATGGTGCCCCACGGTCTTCATAGGACCCGAGGTCACGCATCCAGTCGTCTTTGTAGTATGCACTTCCTTCTCCTCCATGGCGCCAACGGTAGTTGTTGGCGGCAGAGCAATCCTCATGAATTGTATCATTTTCACTTTCTTTACCTTTGCCACCGCCATGGCTGGGATGGGACGGGGGCACCGTGCACCCGCAATGGCACTGAGAGATTACGCCGAGCCACCTGAAGTTGGCGTCATAATCACAAAAGTTGCGCCAGAATGGCTAAGGAGGGGGAGGAAGGAAGAGGAGGAGGAGGAGGAGGGGGAGACGGAGGAGGGAGAAGAATGGGAGGGGGCGATCTGGGCTGGGTCAGGGATTGACCTCGAGGGCGGGATCCCTGACCAACCCTGGAGAAGCCCCTCTCTCTTGGTCTGTTTTGGGTTCCCTGCCCCCTTTGGATGCCGCTCTGCAGCACGCCCCTCTCGCCCATGGCCCTGACAGTGGAAGAAACACTGGCATACATAGAAACGTTCGGAGGTCCGCGCGGAGGGCGCCCTGCGCGCGCCAGCGGCGTCGCAAGGGCGATCCAGCGCCGAAGCCAGAAAGCCGCCCAGAACTCCGAGAGTTTGACCCAGCCTCGAGCGCACCCGCATCCTTTAGATTGACAAGCCCAGGGACAATCTCCGGGGTGCGCCCTCAAAGCTCAGAGAAGCCTTGATATCGGCACCCACATGATGTGATGCCGATATCACGGGTAGGGACAGGTTCAAGGGTGGTATCAGCAAGCTGGGAACTCCTCCGTCTAACTCCTGCCTCACTCCTCCTCCTCCTCCTCCTCCTCCTCCTCCTCCTCCTCTCCTCCACTCCACCTCCCTCCACCTCCTCCTCCTCCTCCTCCTCCTTCTCCTCCTCCTCCTCCTCCTCCTCCTCCTCTCCTCCTCCTCCTCCTCCTCCTCTCTTCCTCCTCCTCCTCCTCCTCCTCCTCCTCCTCCCCCTCCCCCTCCACAGATGGGCGGATGCACATGTGAGAACATCTGGAGGCCACGCGGAGGGCCAGCATACCTATGATAAAGAAGGGCGGAGCGCCGGAGAGACATCCAGCCACACGCGCATCCGGCTGTCGCCCAGGCCAGCCGCGCCGTGTGCATCCAGCCTCCTCCGCCTCCTCCGCCTCCTCCTCCTCCTCCTCCTCCTCCTCCTCCTCCTCCTCCTCCTCCTCCTCCTCCTCATGATGATGATGATGATGGTGATCATCATCACCACCACCACCACCATCATCATCATCATCATCATCATCATCATCATCATCATCATCATCATCATCATCAGCAGCAGCAGCAACATCAGCATCAGCATCATCATCATCATCATCATCATCATCAGCAGCATCATCATCAGCAGCAGCAGCA